CGGATGCTCCTCCGTAAGCTTGCTTCTTTTATCATCTGCTTCCTGCAGCCACTGCACGCTGTCCCTCGTCCGTCCGTCTTTGAGAAGACATCTCCCTACCTTATAGCTGAGCTCGCTTACTTCTCCGCCATCTTTAGCTATGTCAACGGTGGTGTTTTGACTCAACCAATAGCTTCGCGTCTGCGCGGCATGCGGCATGTACGCCCGCCATAAAAATCGATTCGTATAGTCGTCTGTTGGGAATATCTTTGCGACGTGCTTGGTCGCCTCTACCTGGATCTCTGCTGTGCGACCTTCTTCCCGTAGCCAGATCCGGCTCGCTAAGTGCACTAGCCGATGCATGTCGTACGTCGTCCCATCTGCCCGTCTGCTAAGAAACGAGTAGGAGCAGAGTGTGCCGACGGCCGTCCTCGTCCGCGCTTCCGGCTTTACTACGGGCAACATCGAGTACGGAATTGCCTTCCACTCGATGCACGATATAAACTGTAGGAGCTCTGCTGCAATACTGTCCTGCTTTAAGATCTGCTGAAAAGATACGGTCCACGTCGTCGCTATAGCACTCGCCGACTGCTTGTACCGCGTGTTGTCGTCAATCTCCGCACTCATGAGATATATGACATCGTCTGCGGTACCCCGCAGGAGTCTGACGTACTCGGAGATCGCCATGTCGTTGATGTTGAGATACGCTGCAGCTTGGGTAATCGCAAGAGGGAGGTGGTCCAACTCGACGAGGAGTTCGTTCGTGCTCGTCGCGTCGTTCTCTAAGCCTTCCGGGTTTGCAAGTGCCTTCCTTAGAAGCTGTCCCGCTTCGGCTTCGTCTGGTGTCCCGATCTTGAGTACATTGCTACGCGCGACTCGCTGTGCTACATCGGCTGTTCGAGTGGTAAAGACTGTCATTCCAGTATCACTAATCGGTAAATACTCGCGTAAGCCATCAACAATTTTCATATCGTCAGCGTTGTCAACAACAAGTAACCATTTACCCGCGTGCGATGAGCTCAGCCGCTGCTTAACCAGCATTGGTAAGCTGTCGGGGTTCCCATCCGGTGCTGCTCGTATGCCGAGTAAGTCTGCCATCTCCTTCATGGCACGGGAGAAGGTCTCGGTGCTAAGCGCAGGGATCCAGAAGATCGATGTATCCGGCCGCTGTTCCGCGACGTCATATGCGAGGCGGAGGACAATTTGAGTCTTTCCCATACCTCCCAGTCCAAACACAGCCATCGTCTGGCAGTCTCGGTCGACAAAGAGCCTCCGCTCGAGCGTCGCGAGTTCGATATGCCGGCCGACGAAATCATGATTCTTGGGAAACGGAACGTGAATGATCCGTCGCGAAGCTGACGCTAATAGCGAAATTAGTACTTACAAGCTAATTACATACACTTTCATGTAGCCGTACCTGTCGCCTCGTTCGCCGTTCGGATTTGCGCCACGTCGCCAGCTGGCATGTATAGCAACAGCTCTTTCGCATAGGCGGCCGCCGATGCTGCAGCGTACTCCTGCCAGCGCTTATTCTTGTGGGTATCAGAGTAGTCGCAGATTCCGCGAATTACTACGCACGGGTAGGAGTCCATAAGACCTGCCGCCTCCATCTCAAATGCAATGACGTCTTCCTCGCGCGCGATGCGATCGCGTGTAGCTCCGTCCTTGATGACCTTATCGCCTGATGCAATATTCCCGTAGTGTATTTTTGGCCGATCACTCTTGCGCTGCTCTCGCTGTACTACACGCAGGCGGTCGCACTGCCCACATGTCCGACCGGGCTGGTGGTCGTAGCTCGCTTCGAACAGTTCGTCGTTATGGCGACCCTGATGCACATAACCCGACTCTTCCATCGCCGGATTCTCGAGTAGCATCTTCTCGAGGTGGGCGTGCAGCTCGTTACCTTTCCGTTTGTGTCGCGACTGAAGACCTTGCACTGCATTTAGCAGTAAACGCGGTGGCTTGTTCAGGGTGCCCGTCCGCCGAAAGACGCCTCCGGTCTCCATCTTGCCAAAGTCCCACTGTACTACTCCACCGTGCTGACCGTTTGGCTGGCTCACGATCACATCGCCAAGTCGCACGTCACGCTCTTCGCTCCACACTCCGCCTGCTATCCCGACCATCAAGCCGATGCGGATTGGAAAGCTGCGCATCATGTCTTTTGCTACCACAGCTGCGTTCACAGTCCCAGTCATACCTGCTGGTAGGCAGGCGATGACTACTTTGTGTGTGCCAATCGTTCCGAACATGTAGTCATTGTCGTCGCCAGGCGCAGGCTGGAGTTTCGGGTGCTCGTCGTCCAACATCGCCTCGACTGCTGCCTTTTCTGTCGCGAGCGCGCAGATGATACCGACGCTGTACGCGTCGCGATCGTGACCAGATGTCTGCATTTTGATGGAGCTACAACCTGGCGGGGAGGAGAGGCCATGTGAACATCAACCTACGACCGTAAATTGTATCAGCAGGGAAGACAGTGAACTCGAAGGAGCGGGGTGCTCACGGTGCATCGTGCATATGCCATCTCTACAAAGTGGCAGTGCATCGGCCTCCCGGAGCATCGCAGCTTGCAGCCTTGCACGCAGTAGCGAAATGGACCAATTGAAGCAATTTCTACACTTGTACTGGAGAGGCCGCCCCCAGGTCGCCTCGGAGTGGCTGCATATTAGCGGTAGCTGTAGGCCGGGAGAAAATGTCGGAGCACAGCACTTATCCATTGCGACACTTCCAAGTAATACCAGGCTATGCACAAATCGACGAGACGTCTTTGGTTCTAGAGCAGCGTATTGGAGATGATTCTGTCCGTATATCGAGAGAATTTTGGATCTTGGTGACTGAGTATGTGAAAGCCCGGAGATGACGGCGGAGATATCGGCTGTCGTCCCTCATACTGTTTCACCGGGTGGAGTATGATGGCCATTCGGAATTTCAGAAACAATACTACGGCACTAATCCAAAATTACAACCCCAACTCTAACCTTAAGGCACTTCCGTACCACAGCGGTATCCTGCGCTTTTGGCCTCCAAATCGTCCTGTACCAAACTACTTCTATCGAGGGCTGTACACAATACATAATTTACACATCGTATACGAAATTCTACGGAATTGTACACGGCGAGCGAACACATGAATATGAAGGCATCACCACCTCCTAGTCGAAGTAAGGTTTACACGTCTACTATATTTCCAACCACGTCCCTCGACATTGTGGCCTATCTGGCAAAGCTTCACCGCAGTCAGACTACCCTCACTACTCCCGGTCGTCGTTGAAGCGTATAGGGGCAGGTGATGACCCTTCAACTCGCACACTACACGCTTTACTTGAAGGGTGATCCCGGGCGCCTATCGATCTTGATCATGTTCAGCTCATCGACATTGTTTACGATCTCAATAGGGTCCTACTGCTCGGGTCACGATGCGAGACTCGGCATGTCTTTTACTACTGATGCGGCTACTGCTTCCAGCATCTCCCTTTCGCTGTCGGTCCTAGAGCTTCTCGACTCTAGCGGAATGCTAATTACTCTGAGGCAGAAGCGCCGCCTACACTCGCCGAGAACGAAATACCTATAGGCACAGCTATCGCAGAGCCCGAGAACGTTGTATGAGGCCATCACGCCTATAATTCACCCAAGGATAGATAATCTGTTAGTTGTCGTCAATGGCCAACAGAGAATTGAATTTGCGATGTGCGACAATGGACCGCTTGTTTATTTTACAACTAGATCTCGTAGCGACGCTTACATGCTTCGGTCTTCTGGCTGTGCTCAAGACGGTGGCTTTTCTTGTGCGGTACTCGCTGCTAAACGCGCTTTGGAGGGTCTCGTCATAGCAGCCGGTCTTAGTGCCGCTGTTTGTGGAGGGCGGCCGTCATCGCTTGAGTGTTGTATTCCTCCTATGAAACGTCCTAATTAGGCGGCGCACCAGCCGAGATGCTACGGCCAGGCTAGCTGGACGTATGCGATCCATCATGAATCAGCTTTGAGATGGTGATGAGCGTAGAGATATTTGCTTCACGTTTGTATACGTGAATGCAGTGAGTCTGGCGGAACGACCTCGATTTCCGTGTTCCAGCATGAGTATCAACCCTAATTCCTCTCCGCGTGAACAAGAATTGAAGACCTCTGAAGGAGGGACTTTATTTGTAGGGTGAACGAAGTGAGCGACACATCCAGCAAAGTCGACTCACGATCACCAGAAGGTCAAGTTGTCAGTCCGGCCACAAGCACAAAGTGATGAGCGTTGAGGACTTCGTCCTCCTCTCCATTGCCTTCTTCTTGACGCGCGAGAGCCTGGTGAACGCCGGGATTCGCCATGTCCGCTGTCAACGATTTCCATGTGCTTGAACGTGATCGTGGGGATGTAGAGCCAGATCTGGAGGACTTTCCAAATGAAAAATGAGAAGCTCTCCGTGGTCTTGTTATCGATTATGAGCATACTAATGGTCACACACAACTCAAGGACTGCCCTACGAGCTGATGTTCGAAGTGATCCAAGCGCGCTGGCGGACGTGGTCGCGATCAACGATCCGGGGATTCGCGGCGATAGGTCTGCGAGTATCTCTACCTCGACAGCGTTGTCAAGGCGGTGAACTCCTCCCGGATGGGAGAGGGGGTTCCCCCGATCCAACAAGTTGCTGTTTCTGCTGAGCCCGACCGCCAGCTAGGATGGAAAATTGAAATGCCGGACCCGGGCCTGTCCCCAAGGACATCTTGGAGACCGAGAAGAGAAAGGAGACGAGTAGACAATGTGAACGACACGATTAGCGGCCATGCGGGCACGGGCGAGAGGTCCGACAAAGACGAGGGAAGGTTCGGGCAGGTATTTGACCCGTTGTATCAGCACTTTAATCCCAGCACGATGGCGGAAGCAGTCATCACCGCGACCTTGAGCTCGCTCAGGGGACCAACCAATACCAGAGGGCTGGCGTGATTCCGAGTAGATTCCCAGAGCGAATCAGGGACATCCCGCAATGCCCGACGCGACTCTCCTATCTCTCGCCGTTTTCAAGAATGTCGCAGCGCGATCTCCGGCGCCGCAGAATCGCCTCGAAATACTTCGTTACAGAGGTCGCTGCCACTTGCACAACGACAGCGGCTTCTCGAAGGATGGCCGCTCCTGCATAGAGTTGCTCCATTGCCACCACCGGGACGCATGCTACGACAGTGCCGTGCATTCGAAGGGAGAAGCTCTGTGAAGCGACGATCGTCCGTTCGCCGGATGCGAGAGAGCCAAAGCAGCACTCGGGCAGATTGTTCGTGGGTCCAAAGTTCATCAGGGAGATCATCTACCACTTGAGTCGCGACTGCGCCCATGGTCGCCCCACTCGCACCATACTTCCCCATCGACTCGGTCAAGCATAAGGTCGGAAGAAGGGTCGGAGTCCCATCCAAGACGCTCGGATGGTCGTGAATCCATCTCGAGCTCCGGTCCGATCAGGTTCCGTAGGAAATGGCGGCGGCGTCTGGAACAAATTCGTTCCCTAGCAAGTGGGAGACTCATCAGCACGGGGGTGCAAGGGGCTTGGGACTCGATTCCGACTTCACTCCCGCCAGCCAGCCTTTCGACCCTCAATCCTCTTCGCTCGCCCTTCTCTCCCGGCCCCGTGTCTCCCGCTGTGCTACGCCTTCTCCTACTGTCGACGCTCCTCCTCCGACCACACCCTTCTCACAAGTAAAAAGCAACAAAAAGCCATGTCATGGCGAGCAACACGCCGCTCAAATCCACCGTCGGTCCCCGACCAGGTGATCAGATAGCCCTACCCCCTCTTACGAGTCCAAGGATTCGGAGAAAGCCCCGCGAATTGCACGCAGCAATTTTCATAAACGACTAGTCCCGACGTCGAATTCAAGCCTCGGCGGTTGTTTGCAGAAGAGCCCACGATCCAGGGAAATTGGCCATCGAATGGCTCTCAACGACTCTCCCCAAAAGCCCTTGCCAACATTCGAAATCGAGCCGGAGCGGCGGGCGCGGCTCCGCAGAAGGGTGTCCATTTCGACAATTCGGCCTGCCCGTGGGTCCAGTGGCAGCCCCAACAAACTCGCTCGTGCAGCCTTTCCGCCTCCCAGACCGCTGTAGATGACGAACTTCTTCGGCGTGGAAAAAGATTGGAACAGGCGAGCGGGGGGTTTCACACTTGGAGGATGCTGCGGCCGCATCTCTACCCCTTTGGACTGTTGCGTTTGTCCTTGATCTTGGAATGTGGGAGCGGGCGTTGGAGGGGGGGGGAACATACCTGAAGCCTTCAGACTTCTTTGATATGAGGAACGGCAATGGCCTGGTTGTAGGACTTTTGCTTATGTTTGAATTTGGAGCGGCGTGCGCGGAAACGCAACAGTCGATCCGATTCTCCATTGCAGACTTCTGGGATACTAGGCGGGACGACCTGCGAGGAGGAAAAGTCATGTCGCGCGATGAGTGGGAGATGATGGATCTGAGACTCTGACGCTATGGTGTGTGCGCGTGTGTGTGTATGTACATGAAGGCAAAACTGAATACTTGAAGGCGCGTCCAAATGGTGGACCTGCAATGCCGAACCACGGATCCACCTCCACTTCGCTCTTCGCTGATCTACTTTATTCCATGCTCTTCTCTGCTATATAGACCAGGCGACGTGGCTCACCGTCTCTCCTCGATACAATTCTCGGATAGATGCCGGGAGCCTACGCCGATGCCAGGCTTTGTCGCGCAACACTGAATCGCCCCCAGTGTGACCCTGGTCTTCGTGCGCGGTGGTGGCGGTGGTGGCGATGGTGGTGATTGTGGCCGGAAAGTGAGATTGGCGATGGCGTCGGGGAGTGAAAGAAGACGAATTGAGATTAACGTATCCGTGGCAGAGAGAGGGATTGGACTTTGTTCGGCCGATCTGCTAGTTACGCATGGTGTAGGGCTCGTAGAAGGCTTTGAATCCTCGTGGATATGAACGATTATTCGATGGATCGAGGGGTTGACCATGTGTTTTCATGAAAACCACATAAGTTAACTTAGTCTGAGAAGCGTACTGATTACAAAATTCTGAGGGCTTCGAGATGCCTCGGTTCAAGCCGGTTGCCACAGAAACGAGTCTGCAATGAAGTCGCGCGTGCCCCGCCAGTTCTCTCGGCACCTGCCCAGGTGGGCATTCATGTATAGATTCCAGGACTCTTACAGACAAGACGATTGTTCGTTCGTGGCAGGCATCCATGGAACGTTGGAAACAGTGCCCGCGTCCTGTTGGTGGCCGTGGAATACGATAAACGATGTATGCGAGTTCGATGTGAAGACTGTGTTTGTAAACAGTGGAGGACTTGGGCAAGGTCAACGTTGGCGGTGCTTTGGCGACATCGGTGCCTCGAAATTCGAGGATTCATCTCGTATCATAAGTAGTGAATAGACATGTCACAGTCTACTTCGTGGGGATGGATATGCTACCGTACGATGTGAGAAAATCGATCGCGTATCACCGGTTCCGAGCCGGACGGGTGTGTTGATTTGTCCATCGAAAAATAACACCCGCTAAGCTGACGACATCCCGAAAATGCTTGATGAAATTGCAAGTATCAGCTTTGAGGTATACGCCGCGATGGCAACGGCCTGGCTACCCATCGCCTTCGTATAGTAGAACATGTAAGCAACTGGGGATGAGGAGTAGCCTATTACCGCTTGGACATTTTATGGCGGAAGATATTCCGGCGAAGCGGTTGGATAGTGTTGGGAGGACGAGGCTCCTCACCGATCACGTGAGCATATATCCTATCCAAAAGTACACTAGCGAAACTCGTTGTCTCCAAGCTGGAGTTTGCCAACAGCTTTCAAATTCTCACAATGACGAACATGTACACTACACTTGCTAAACAATTGAAAGCCTCAATGGCAATAAGTGTTTGCCACCAGCCTTGGGCAGCGCCGGCCGCGATTGCATCAAGGCTCAATCCATTGCAGCCTATCGAAGAGGAAAACACGCCATACTATCAACCCGAAAACTTTTACCCTGTGCAACTTGGTCAAGTTTTACAAGAGAGATACCAGGTAGCGACTAAGCTTGGTTATGGTTCCAGTTCAACAGTTTGGCTGGCCAGAGACCTCTGGCGGTAATTTGTACCTTTCCGAGCACTTTGACAGCGCTGACAACTTCTATAGCTACCGGTGGAACAGTGAGCGGTTCGTGGCTATCAAAGTGTCCTCAAACAGACAGGAGAATGATACTTGTCCCGAGCTCACAACGCTCAGACTTATATCTAAAGCAAATCCCCGACATGAAGGATGGAATTTCATAAGGAGGCTTGAAGACAGCTTTAGCATTGGTGGAGTGGACCGAGAACACATCTGCCTCGTGTTCGAGCCCATGCGCGAACCTCTGTGGCTTTACGCACGAAGATTTACGACCGGTGTCATACCGTCTGAAATTCTAAAAGTCATGCTCCAAATGATTCTCCACGGACTTGACTATCTACACACCGAATGTCAGATCATCCATACTGGTACGATGAAAGACCAAGTCGAGTTTCTTGATATTGTGGACATGAAGTCACTGACCAGCGAGGCAGATCTGAAGCCGGATAACATCATGGTGAAAATCGAGGACTCTACAATTCTGGAGCGAGATGCTAAAGACGAATATCAAAATCCTCTGCCACAGAAGCATATTGACGGCCGTGTGATCTATCTTTCGCGGAACGATTACGGACAGCCTTCAGTACCAATTGGTATCGTGCAAATAGTGGACTTTGATCGTTCTGTTTCCGGAAAATTGTCCCATTCTGGCTGCATTCAAGCAGACGTCTACAGAGCTCCCGAAGTTATACTCGATGCCGGCTATACATACTCGGCAGACATATGGAGTCTTGGCGTCATGGTACGATCTCGGGTTTCATCATATGCTATTCCTCGCTAATTCCGCGTTTCAAGCTTTGGGACCTACTAGAAGGCAACAAACTTTTCAATGTGATCGATTCGAAGGAGACTGATGAGTACGATGAGCATCTACATCTGGCTCAAATTACGGCCTTGTTGGGCGCTAGACCCAAAGATTTTGGCGCCGGTCAAAGAACATCGATGTTCTACAATACCAACGGTATGTACACGATTACGTCGAGCGAAGAATGGATGTCTGACTTATCTGAGTAGGAGACCTTCGAAAGAAGAGCCTCATTAATGAGCAATTCAATTTCGAGAGCGCCATCCGCTCTGTAGGAGGTGAGGAGAAGGAGATGTTTATCAAGTTTGTAAAGAGAATGATCAGGTGGCGTCCGAATGAAAGGAGTACTGCAAAGGAACTCTTGGACGATCCATGGTTGTACACAGACTTTTCGCAAGATCGATAAAGTACATAGTCATTTACTGATCGACACCATGACTGAAAGATGATGTTCAGACTCAGTCTTTCTTCTGAGCTTCATTGTAACTCTGTTTGGAATACTCTACCGTCCCATCATCGTAAGCGTGGACAGAGGTCAATCGCACATTACCCTTATAGACCTGACCAGACACGCGGAGTTTGGGGTCTTTAGATGAGACATGCGGTTGACCGCTACCATGTATTAGCACTGTCTGTATTGGAGCGTTGCTTCATCTTTGCTTACGCTATTTCAACGGTGTCGGCCAGTGCTAATTTTGAATTGTCCGATAGCTTGGATTTGATCAAGTCCTCGTACTTGGTGACTGGCTCCGTTCCCTTCCAAATAAACTTGAGAAAAGCTTGAGCAGTAGTCGAAAAGTAGCGACTCATATTAGACTGAAAAACAAATTAGCAAAACCTCGTATTAGTTGCATCCTCAGACATACGTAGAGTTCCGGATTTTTTTAGTGATACCGAAGATTGAGCGACTTGCGACTCTAATAAAGCAGGCTGGTTGGCCGACTTTCCAACTTTCTTCAAATCTAAATATTGAGCGATAAATGGGAATGCTAGTAAAAAAGTTGAGCGACCTGGCGGGTCCTTGAACAATGCCTAATCGCTGTATTTGTATTCGGAGAGTCCGCGATTCAGATCGCACTCGACAGTCACTGTTACTAACGCGGGGAACCCCAACGCGGTCCATACCCCAACGCGGTCCAAGGCATCAAAGAGCATAGCATTCAACAATTGATTGCTCTACCAATTATTGTTGAAATACCTTCAAATTGAAAAACATGGTAGATCAATACTAACTCTTATGATACACAGGTTCTTGCGTTATGGTCTGGACGGCCACACTTGCTACACTTTCTAATACGCTTCACGGGCCTCGGCATCTCCTCCTGGATTTGTGCTTCTACCTCCTCTTGTTCAACAACGTACTGCATTTCAGGAAAGGACAAGGCATTCTCTGTAGTGAATGCCTTCCTCTTCCTTGATTTGCGTATATGCATAGCCTTGTTTGCTTCTTCTAGGGCCACAACACGCGATTGAAGGATCGCAGCTGAAGTAGCCATTATCTGAGCTCCCTTGGTCAGCTGATCAAGCGCTTCATATATAGGCGTTGGAGAACTGCTTTGATGCCTTTTAAGCCTTTGTTTGATCAGTGTCGCTTGTTTATCAACCTCCTGTGTAGTCTTAGGGGTCTTGGTTCCCCATGAGCCCGGTGAACTTGGCCGGAGAGGAGATTGAAATACTGGATCCAGCGTAGATAAAACAGTCTCAGGGTTGAATGGATGGAGGCCAGAGCCTCTGAAGCCAGCCTGGATGTTGTCTGACGTAATTGTATCAAAGTACGCAGCCTGGAAGGTCGCCATAAACGTGCCCTTGTCGACGTGAAAGATATGGTTACGAATCAAGCTCTGTGTCCGCTTTGAGAAGGCCTGCTTTAATGGACCAAAACAACCAACATCAAGAGGCTGAAGTATATGAGAGGTGTGTGGCGGCATCTATAGGAGGATGATGTTGTTCTCCTTACAGAACAAAGTGAACTCTGGCGTAGTATGGCTTCCATGGTTGTCAAGAATCAGCAGCCTCTTGCTGCCAACTGTCTTTGACTTTGTGTGCTTATCGAAGTGCTGGATCCACTGTAGACCAATCCGATCATTTGTCCAGCCTGTTAGGCTTGTATTAAACACCCAGGATGATGGTGTATCAGTACAGAACCAGGTATGGTTCAGTTCTTTCCCTTTGAAGATCATAAATGGTGGTATAGTCGAGCCATCTGTACAGGCCCCCTGGACTAAGGTAACCCATTCTGTTCCTGAAGGCTTTATTTGTTTTGGCCGGCCCTGCTTCTCAATGGAAGTCACTACCTTAGAAGCAGAGATCTGTCCTAATTGGAAGCCGGTCTCATCGAAGTTGTACACGTCTTGGTGTAAGACGCCATACTTGTTGATTGTATTCCGGACAAGGGCAAACTAGGCTTTAATGACTTCCGGCGTCTTACAGAGCCTTCTCTGACACTCATAGGTCCTTCCAAGCTTGATTGTAAGGATAGGAGAGCGTTTGATAAACTTCCTTGTCTAGTTCTGGCCGACTGCTGCAACACCCTTGGCTTTGTATATACTGTTTGCTATTGCTTCAATCAGGGCGATTGTAGGCGATAACCCTTGTAAATCCAGCTGAAGAATGTCTTGAACAAGGACACTCTCTTCAATAGGACTGAGCTTCAGAGTCCCTAGCTTCCAATCTTCTCGAGAGGGGATTCCCTTGAGTCTCCGGAGCAACGTCGTTTTTGAGACCTTATAGTCTCTCGCTGCCGCTGCTACGGAGCGGCTGGCACCTGATCTGACAGCTGACATCGCAAGCAATAGACTCCCCTCTTTTAGGGACGATTGCACGCGTTTTGGTGTAGCTATTGCGTGTTGAAGTTGACGCGTTGTTGTGTTCAAAATTGTAGACCGCGTTGGGGTATGGACCGCGTTGGGGTTCCCCGCGTTAGAGAGCGCTAAGTAAACGTATGTCATTGGGCATACCTCCTAGCGCTATGACTGAGTCCGGCGCTCGGATAAGAAAATCCGTAAACAGACTTACTGCTCACAACGTAGAGCGCTAAGATGCAAACCATCGGGCAGTGCGCCATGTCTGTATTGAGTCGGGCGCTTGCGAAAACTGATCGCTCGTCTCAGCGGATTTGGAACATGTTATTGAGCGTTTTCATCCACGAGTTCCGAGCGCGCGCTGACGCTCTTCACAATAACAAGAATAAATTTACTATTCTGCAAAGTAGTTTGGATCCTCTCTGACATATTTGCCTTAGCTGACAATAAAACAATGTGTAGAAGGGAAAGTTCAATTCAATAATAGCATACGAAGAATGAAGAGCACGTAGAGTTGATTTTCTTCGGCTTCGCACGTTGCACCTACTCTATGTACTCAAGCGATCGCGTTTTGTATTTTCGACGAAACTGCGAGCGTAAAGGCCCACAAACCGGATAATTAGAGGCGCCCAGAAGCTGAACCATTATGAACAATTTCCCACTCGACCGACACGCCCGCTCGGGCGACGAAGGCGCCCGCTTGACCAGAGCAGGCTCGTTGGCTAGCGCGCGAGCCCATTAGCCCGAGTGAGCGGGTTGAGGAACGCAGCAGCGAAATGTCACAGAGGGTTCTCGCCCGGGTGAGCGGTTCGAAGAGGGCGGTCCGAAGAGGGCGGCAAGGAAAGACCGCGCGCGGTTCGAAGTCGGACAAACACTGTCGAGTGCGTATCCGCCGTAGCATGCTGGAGGTGTCTTGTCTGAACAACCTGGACCAATGGTAGCTGCTGACCGTCCGGTAGTGAACAGGGCCCGTGTGCAAGGACCTCTACCACCGCGCAAAAGTGCGCGCTTGGAGGTTTCGCATCGGGACAAGCCTGTGCCGGTAGGAAATCGCAGCAAAAGCAAACGTCATGACTCGAACAACGACGCCTACGGAAGAGCAAAATGCCGGAGAGCTAGTTATGCAGATATATGGCTGGCATGAAGCGCAGACCCTCGGGATTTGATAATGAATCGAGTCCATCGTGATAATGAGTCCCCCGTCCAACCCCCTTTCGCCCCTTCCCTTCACCAATTATTTAATTTGAAAGGCGGCACCTCCGCGGCGAACGTGGTGACGTTCGGGGTGCGTACGCGTTTCAAGCACTATTTGCTGTCAAACCTGGCTACCTGCGCCGGCCCGCGTATCTGTACGCGCGCGCGTACATCTATGCGTGACTGAATGCAAATTCTCCCATGATTTGCGCGTGTTCTACATACTTACGTCCGCTGGAGCTCGAGGGGGCTAAGTGGGCGTAGTTCTGGGGGTTTTAAGGCTCCAACTACTGCAGTTGAAGGGGTCGGTGTGGTCGAAGCGCTGGTGGCGCTGGAGCGAGTCGCTTCGAGCCAGCGTCTACAGCGCCGCTGTCGCAGTCGACAGGGGGTCGTCCTCATACACGAGGTCGGTGTTGAGATCAGCGATTTTGTTGCTTGCAGGCTCTCGCACCGACTTCCGTGCGCTGACTTGGTTGATTGGCAGGCCGGTGCGACGACTCACAACCCTCCGGCAACGTGAGACCTGGATGCGTAGCTCTGAGGGCTCTGGGGCCGCGGACGGATCGATCCACCAGTGCTTATGAAAGTGTTGTGGTCTCAAGCACTCGCCTTGCTGGAGCAGCTGTATCGATGTCGACTACGTCTTGGCTAATGCCAATGGCGATTGCGTCATCTGTTGAATGTGCAGGTGAAGAGTTGATTGATTCCCTCGGCTACTTAGGGGGAGGCATGGGTCTATATATATCTCATCTTATGAAGCCCCTGGAGTCCATCCAGCCACCAACAATTCACATCATCGTGGATCGAGAGTTCCTCCCACTTCTGCATGATTTCCGCCAGGATGACCCACATTCTGCTCCTCCAGGACGCTGACGCTAGTACATTCTACGATCAAACGCATCGGCGGTCTGCGGACCAGCGTCAAGGGCTGACACGACGGCACGTCCGAAAAATGTGCAGCTCGCACATCGCGTTGCTTATCTCCGCCGCGCTGGCAAACATCGTTGACGGCGAACTCAGCAGTACTATGCCTGGCGCCGAGTGTTATAGATGTCTCTAAACACTGCCGGTATATCTCAAGAATGCGCCATGGCTGGATCGGCCGGTAGATGGCTGATCGCTAGTGAACAGATGCTCCATGCTACAAGGTGAACGAGTCCCTAGGCTGCCACCTCGGTACGTGGCACGTATCTTTGCCTGCGGAAGATCGATCACAAGCACATCTGACAGCTTCTTCAGTCAGAACTCATCAGTCTTTACAACGCCGACCCGACCATGAACACATTGTTGTGCGCGGATACGAGCGCCTCGCGACCCAATCGTGAGACTTTCCCCGTGCCCATCTATCGAGCGGAGCGTGCGTTGATCTTTCGAGCAAGACCACGCCTGTCCACTGTCTACGTCTCTGGAATGAACGAGACTTATGGGCCCATCATCACGAATGGTCAACTGTCAGCATGGAAGGCCCTGCTGGCCGTAGAGATGTGCAGCCAAATGGCCCATCGTGGTCACGGCTTCCTCACCTCGTTGTCCGTTCTAGTGGAGGGCCCCGCAGCCACCGCGAAGCTGTTCCGCTGCGGCATTCTCTATTTTGGCGACCTTGCCGCGCAGTGCCCCGACGGATCCATACGGATCCTCGACCGCGAGAAAGATTTCATAATGTCCGGCGGCGAAGACATCCCTCGGTCGCCCTCGAGGCCGTCCCCACCCACCACCCCGCCAGCCCCGAAGTCGCCTGCGATGTTGTTCCGCACGTCATCGACGACGAAGTCCCCAAGGCGCACGTCACGCTCCGGAGCCGTTGACCACCGCCACCTCCTCCGCCACCAATACCGGGAGAGGCGGCGACGGCAGCGGCGACGGAAGACGGCATCACGGTCCCTCGCTTGATGGGATGGGTACGCACCTAGGCGGACGGCTCGCGCTTCATAATGCCGAGAACCTTTGAAGTCCTCGCAAGGTCCTCAAGATAATCTACCCTGGTGTACACCGTACTACCTGTATATGTACATGTATATGTATATGGACGGTACACGAAGTCTACTCCTGCGTGCACTCGGGACCAAACGCATCGGCGTGCCTCATCTCGTCAATGCTCTTACCGGCACATCTTCAGGTCCACACATGCTGTAAATACTGAATACATACGCGTAGTCTGTACATCACCAACTCATCACCATACGAACCATAGAGAGGGATCTACCTCGCAACAAACCCTGTCGCCTCTGCAACCCCTAAAATCCAGAACCCTCGCCCCCGAGTCGGAGTATCACGATAGCGATACGCCCTCAACTATCGGCGAGGAATCACCGCCGTTCTGCCGGGTCTTGCTCACGACCCGTGGGCAGTAATGGCGCATTTTGACTCGCTGGGTGAGTCTTTCCCTATTCCACCTTATCGACCAAGGCCGTCTTCCTCACCGCCTTAGCGGATTCCTCCGCTGCGCTCATCGTCGCCCGCGCGATGGCTAGCGTCAGCGCAGCCGGCTCGTTTGCGGGCTCGTCTCTTACCACCGCGAAGATGGTGCCGCTAGCAAAGGGGTCCCTGTATACCGCATGCTCGTAGGCTCCGTGTAAAGCATCGCTTCTATCGTAGGCCCGGCGGCGTCTTCACCGTTCACGTTGTGTAGCGGTAGTGCTTCTGAATCAATCTTTGCTTTGGAGCGGTCACTACTGCCTTTGCCGCGCTTGCCTTTCGAGACTCGACCCCATCATCCTCCTCCTGACCGTCGCCGTGGCCTTGCTAGCCATCTTTGCCTCCATCTTTGCCGTCTTCCAGTCCCAGCTCGGCCGGAAGGCCACGCCTTCCCGGCATCTGATCCGCTAAAGCATGCTTCTCAGCACCGCCTTCTTCGCTCCCCTAGGCGATTTATTCTCATTCATTATCTACTCGCCCCCGATCTACTTTCAACTGGTGCGCGGCACCTCCGCGACCTGATTCGCCATGAGCAACATCCCATGCTCATCACCATAATCTTCGTCTCCATCGCGAGCGGTGGCCGTGACACTGCGCCGATTTAGTCCGGAACCTTCTACTTGGCGGCGGCCATTTTCTGCGCCGCCGGTGTTGGCGCCATTACTACGCTCAAGCCCGATACCACAACGGCGCAATCGATCGGTTACCAGATCCTCTACAGCGCGGGTATCGACCTCGGCTTCTAGCACCCCGTCATCCCCGTACAGACCGTGATTCCAGCGGTCGACATCGCTGTCGATACGGTTCAAATCATCTTGGCATTCACTCGGCGGCGGTTTTCTAACCTCGGTCGCCCAGAGCGTCTTCCTGAACCAGTTGCAACGCTTGGTCGCGGAGCGAATCCCGCAGCTGGCCGCAATCCCGGGCGACGTGCAGTAGCATACCTCCGACGCGAGTGGCAGCAGTAGCAGCAGCATCGGCGCACCCCCCCTCCCCGCCCCCCTCGCCCCATCGAGCCCTAGCTCTTGCTCGCGCAGACGGTCAACGATGCACTGACCCAAGCCGTCGACGCCAGCCTGGCTATAGCTTGGTCAACAATCGTTAGTGGGGAGTGTCTGGAGTGGAAGAGCATCAAGCAGACGACGGCGCAGGAGTATAACATGTCCACCGAGGATCACTACCGTTGGGGGGGGGGATGATCCGTCACCGCAGGCACAAGGGCAGAGAGACGTCGCCGGTAGTCCACGTGTTGTTTGGAAGAGCAAAAAGTAGAGCTGTAAATAATAACGAACGCATCGAAGACCCGGTGGACGAGCTCTGCCAACGCCATCGCAGGAAACTTGTCTGGCTTGTATTGCTGCCTTTCCATTCCCGCACCAGGTAGACAAGTATGTGTACAAGTATGCACATACACTCGCCCCCCTGGGCCCCATCTGTCCGCGAAACAACCGTCTTCCCGTCTGGCCGCCCACCGTACAACCAAAGTCGGGATAAATAGATAGAAAGGTAGATGAATAGACAAGCCTATAGATGCAAATCTTGTTGGGAATATATGTACAGTAATATATATTAGAAATTGCAAAAAGTGACGTCCTATAAAGCCAAGTCGAAGCAAAAGGTGACGATGGGAACCCATTCGCTCCTGAGCTCCTCTTCCGATAGTATGTATGTTTATCTAGATGAGTCATCGCACAGGCGTTAAGTGCATGTATAATCTCTCCCTCCTGACATTGTCAAGACTCCTGTTGCGAACCTGATCACGCAGATCATTCAAGTCGACTGTGAATGTGCCAGAAGCGGTGATTTAATCGTAAGAAGTGCGTCCGAGTGTTCTGTGTTGTGTGCATTGTATCAAGTGTATGCATGATCACTCACTCTTGACATCGTAAAGGCTGAGGTTGCTTACCTGGTCACGCAGTTGTTGTGTTCCGTTGTGAGGAGCCGAAGGCGTTTAACCGTCAGAAGTGCTACCGAGGGTAGTGTGTTGTATGCTCTGGATGTTGCAAGCACAAATGTCTGGCGCAAAGAAACAGTACTCCAAAGATGGCCAATGAAAGGAAGGGAAGTCATTATAACATGCTAGCTAGTATCGCTGGAGGACTACTCGCCTTCGGCGGGAACATGATGCTGAAATGATTCCTCGACAGCGTACATATCCGAACATCCTTCCCGCCGACGAGGCACGCCCAATCCTCGTACTTCGACGTCAGCCGCCATCGCGACTTCCCGGCTCTGCACGGCTCACTCCGCCCCGAAGTCTTCCTCATCTTCCTCCTCTGGCATAGCCTCCAGCACGCCGTGTCTGGCTCACGCCAAGATCACGTCGCCCAGGCACGCGGCCTCGGTGGCGGAGAGGGCGTGGTGCGGCCAGCTTCGGAAGGCGTCAGTGATGCGGACAATCTTCTCGCGGGTGTAAGCGGCGACTTTGCCGGCCGTCTGATGCAGGTCGTCGAACATAACCGCCTTCTCGAGGAAGCCGAGCGAGGTACGGAACAGCGGCGTCAACGTGGGAAACAAGGCGAATCCGACAGCATCAACCGGGCATTACGCTCGCCCCTTCCCGATAAGGGTAGAGAGCAGAAAGAAACAAGCACCGTCGCTGTCGTCCGAGTCGACGTCCATTCGTCCCTGCATAGCCGACTTGGAGGGAGGGCCTGTTTGCCCTTCGGGGCCCCTTCAGGGTTTCCGCTGCGGTACTCATATTTGAGGGTGTTGAAAGTATTACGGGTCGACTGTCAGAGGGCCGTTTATCCAAAGGGGCTTCTTGAGAATGAGTGGTGCAGTAGGATGTCACCGAAGGGGCTTTACATCCCGATGGGTAGGTTAGTAACATGAGTTCAACACATACAGACATAAAGTCTGCTTGTCGTACCTATATATGTGTTACTGTATACATAAGAAATGTCCTTTATGGACAGCGTCAACAGAACAGTGCTGTGATGTTTGTTCTGTTAGAACAGAGTAGACAGAACAATGTTGTTCTGTCTGTTCCGTCGCCTGTTAGGGTTGCGCTGTGGGCGTCGGGGTATGCATCATGACGGGCAGGTCAGCCCGCAGGTGATGTACACCATTGCGTAGTAGGTCCTTGCTGCGCAGTGTCACGGGATCGTAACAGTATTCTAGTACTGTTGGAGTATTTGTCAAGAAGCGACCTTAGTATTAGACAGGAAGCATAGCGACGACGATAAGGGATGGGAAGAGAAAGAAGAGGAAGAACAGTAAGAAGAAGGACGAGAAGGATAAGACGGGGGATGAAGGCGAATGATAGATTTTGACACGGGTGCAGTGCGTGCAGGTCACCATACGGCGCACTAGTCGCTACCAAGATCAAGGATCCAACATGTTGAGATTTAATTGTTGCAAATGTTGTCGTCGTCTTTGTTCTGTACAATATGCTTACGTAGTCCATAGTTCAGTAAGAATTTCGCTCATACGATGTGCCCAATGACTCGCTATGAAAGTAAGTGGATGTTTCTAACACGTGTGCTCGATCAGGACCAGTCACGATGGAGAGCATGTGTCGATGCCATCAAGGGAGACTCTGATACGGGCGCGTCGACGTATATTATCTGCGGCATTGATATTGATGCCTTTGAACACAATTGAGGTGGCCAGCTTTGACAGTGGATGAGAGAATGTAAACGACGTTGTCCATGTGATCAAACAACAAGTGCATCGCATCGTCAGAAAAAGGTGACATTACTGCATAGAATATATGAAAAAGCGCGCGAACATACAGCACATCATGATACACCACTCGGCGCAGACGCAGCCTCCCCCATCATCTAGGATCATCAGTATGAATAGCTGGTGTCAGGATCGATAGAGATCAACGTTTGGAGACCCGCTACGGTGGCGGCGAGATCGCGTGCGTGTTCCTGCTACAAATGATGCAATGCCGAGCGATCGGAATGAATCGCGTTCTTGACTGCTTCTAGGCCAGACATCTTTCGTTTTACGACCGTGATTTCGTTGACACGGGCGCTCTCCCCGGCAAGGACGCCCTTGAGCTTCTCGCATGCTTCCGCAACGAGGCGCCCACCTCCACCGAGAAAAGCTCCACCGGGAACTTAAGAATACCGTCGTTCAGGTTCTTGAGCATCTCCTGTTCTGATGCCTCTTCATGCGTCTTCTCGATACATCGGTTGACGGTCGGCCACACGAATGTCTGGACGAAGTCGACTTGCTCGATGGCGCGCGCCATATTCACCTTCTACTCTCCCTCGATGCGCAGTACGCCCTCTCGCCAATCTGAATTCTGTCGCATTACCCTTTCGGGATTTGTGTTGGAGTTCGAGGAGTGGAGCATGTAAGTCTCTGACAAGGAAGAGTCAATTGCGTGAGTGATGGATGGCATCTCATTGGCCGCAGCGAGACCGGCCGTCGGCGATGGTTCGCCTTTGTTTGTCTATAACGAGGATGAAGTTCCGTAGAGCAAGTTCAGCAGTGATGCGGGTGCACGGCTCGTGCATAGGATAGAATATCTCGATGGTCCTCTTTTGCAGGTCAAGGTGACCAATGATTCAATGGCAATTGTTAACGTTCATTAGCACGAGTATTGACTAGTGTAGTGCTGGGAGGAGCGGGCGGTAGCGACTCGTCATTGAATGTTTATCGCATTGGTCCAGACGGACGGCGCCGGATTCGGCAACGAGCACATAGTTGGACACTGGCTTGAACATATCCAGGGCGGCGACGATGATGAAATCGTTGAGCCATCTTCCAGGCGCGAGTCGACTAAGATCTACTGGAACATTCTGCAAGTCCAAATTCACGCGTTCGTGCAACGGGCTAGTCTCCTCAATCAGTCCGCAAATGTCCTGGTGGGGGGATGCTCTCTTGGTTCCTGTACCTCGACCGGTCCACCGCTGTGCAAGTCACACCCCGTGGGAATCCCTAGCGAGCCCGACTCCGATGGGATGCGAGAACAATGTCGCTTCCGACGGTGCGCTGTTAGTGTGTCGAGGTATCGAGGCAAAGGCGACGGCGATGCATACGCAGTCGTAAACCGCACATCATGCTCGCCGTCGCTCGGAGAACCCTCCGGTCGGGTTCGCCCATAAAGTCTACGTGGTCATCGGCATGCAGCTCGGGGGCGCGTCGCCCGTGTTCGATAGATCTTTCCAAGTCGGAACCTTGGGAGCTCTGTGACGGTGACCTGATCCTGTCCATAGGAATCAGTAAAATACGGATATGTAACGAAACTGTCGAATGTACCTCTTTAGGGGCGGACCGTACGTGGCACCGTACTCTGCGCACACTTTGGCGACGTCCGCCACCTTGGAAACCGGCCACCATTGCCCTGATGGCTTTCCGCGTGATCCTTTGGGAGTTGATTTTATCCTGCGACATCGATGGAGGTGTATTTGTCCAAAAGTGCGGCACAACTCTTTATGAACCTCTTAGAGTGTACACAATCCACGCCGAAGATGAGGTAGAAAGCATAACACGCGATGCTCTATTGCCCCTGTTCGAGTTTCTCGAGCAACGGTATCGTGCTGGTTTTCTAGTGATTGGCCTCCTGTTTCTCAAATGCTATGATGGACCCTTTCACGTCATGTAATAGATGATCCTCGAGGATGGCGATGGTCTTCGAGGGGATCAGATCGGGTTGCGCAGCATCGGTGACCACAGAGAGTCCGCCGTCAGAACCATGAGATCCGCTCATGATCATCAATGATTCGCTCTGTCAAATTTTCGCTCGACTAGGCGTGCTTGAACCGAAATTTCCCTACGTCCTGTTATCCTTTGAACCCCTTCAGAAGCAATTCGGCATCCCCACCCCCTTCATCTACTATATAAAAGCTCAAATCCAGGTTACGTTCGAATCGATCAACCTTACTACTCTATCTACGTGTAGATGAGGATCTATCTTGTAGAGCTTGTCCGTTATGAACTAAACAATAATAACGATGTAGGATTTAGACGTCTTATAGAAAGATGGTCGACGGTAGTAGATCGGGCGATGTAGCGCATATAGAGTGTTTATTTCATGAGACCCTACCAGATTTGAACGCGACTTATCTAGTCTATTCGCTGTACGGCACTCCTAATACACTATAATGTTGTTAAATTTCCTAGGAAGGATGATCGCATTTCTGCCTTCTACTGATCGTTATGCATAATCGTTATGCATGATCGTTATGTATAAGTTAGTAGAGCACAAAGCGGATTGTGTAGAGCATGATCACGTGCTTCGGGGCAAGACAAATTCTGTACCCTAACATCGGTACAATCTCGATTTGCGGAGAGTATTGGCTTCCGACACTATGCACTCGACCGCGCCTGCCGCTGTTGCTAGAGTCGCATTCTCCAGACCTCAGTAGTATCGCGCTGAGCGCTAAAGCGATCACGCACAATGCGCGTCGCCTATTGCTTCATCGCTAGCAGCATGTTTGCCAAGATATGTCGACCCCCTCGTATGCAATCGGCACAAAGATTACCGCTGTTGAGATCAGCAGTGCTAAAAGAGCGCTCAAGCGCCTTGCCGGTTTGTTTACAGATGGCAATACTCACCCTCGCGAGATCATCGCGACGCTCAAGGTCTGGCTGACGGAACATGTAAAGATGTCGCTCACAGTCTTTATAAATAGGGAAGCCAACAATCATAAGAACAGCGCAAAACCCTACCTCGAAAGACTTGAAGATGGGGATTGGAGCATTCCTTGCTATGCTTTAATATCATCTTCGGGCGCAATTGTCCACGATCGAAGAGGTTCGTGAAAAGCTGTAAAGCACTCAGTCGCAAATGTCCCACGTGCGGCGTTGCATAGGAAGCAATCAATGTGCAGATAGACCAGTGGATGTTAGCCGGGTCGAAGATTGCGGGTTTCAATATTAGCGATGTCGCGAAAGTGTGTGCTAAGTATGGTCCGGCGGATGAGCAGAGCGCAAAAAGGTATGACCGTGGCTGTCATCACATGCTCGCCCCTTACGAATCAATCGTGAAACAACCAGATGGCTTTCCCAAAGCTCTCAGGGTTTCGACGACACCGCCATCACGCCGCCGATAACATTCACCAAAGATGGCGAGCCAGTGTCGACGGCACCGCCATCACGCCGCCTATGACCCGCCTCCTCCAAAGACTGCCATCCAGTCGACGACACCCATCCGGAGCAGGCAGTTGCAGTCGACGCGTCTCCAGTCGATTCATCTTACCGAATCAGCCGGACCTATAGGCTGCGATCGCCACAGCAGCCTCGAAGGAAAAAGAAGAAGAGCAGGGTTAAGAACAAGAGTAAGGAAAAGAAGAAGAGCAAGGAAAATGACAAGAAGTATGCTCTAGCGGTGCCGGCAAAAGAAGATCCGACTCCCCCTCCTCTACCTCTACGACTTGTCCGCCTCGAGAAGCAAGCGAGGGACTGGAGGAGCCTGAGCCTGTGGATGACTTCTTCCAGCCGACGAGCGCGGTTGCTACTAAATTTACTAGAAAGGCGGGCAAATGGACATTCAAAATGTGAACGAAGACATTTCTGAGCCTCTGTTGCCCTCACAACTACCAGCAGCGACCCTCGCACACTTTGCCGGTAATACGGCTACAATCTTTCACGAACCTTAGTATACTCTTTACCAATTCCATCGTTAACAACATTTCTACTTCCACATGGGCACGCCTAGAGCGTAGGTCAACGGACCCTCGCTTGTACATGGTATTGACGCCAAAATTGTAGTAATCGATCCACCTTGTACTTGATCTCCGCGGGAATGGATACGGCGGCGCATCGACTTTTTCTAAGGTTAGTATGCTGCCGTCTCCCACAACTCCTCCTTACGTGCGTCCTCGCTCTAGGAATCAGCTTCGCCCCCTAGGCCGGCTCCTCGCCGCCGTTTTTCATCTCCCAACCGCGACCGCCGATGAAGAGCGAGGACTCGCTCCAAAGGAAGGCATGGATCTCCCATGCCGAGGTTGCGCTCTGTGTTGCGAAATCACAACTTGCCTTAACATAATACATCTGTCTATATTTCTCTCATCTCTGTCCGTAATCTGTTACTCACACGATCAATTTTGCGCGATCCCGAGCATTGTTGCCGACCGCAGGCAGAGTCATCAGAAAGCTCGAACGAAAATAATAGCTGTAGAGTCAGAACCTTCCCGAGACATCGTCCTTCTCAAAGCTGTCTACGCCACACCTTTGGGTGTTGTCCACACCCTGACTACCGCTAAGGATGTGAAACACAAAAGATCCGCCTTTGTTAACGAAGCATGACTTGAATTTGTACAGCATTAATCCATAGTCAATGCTATACTACATCTAGTACGGATACACGACAGCAACGCTACGCCGTTTTCAATGCTTCCGAATTATGTAGACGGCCGTGAATCTCTACGGACAGGCGAAATTGAGCTGCTCGCGATGTGTGCAATTAGTGTAAGCTATCAAACTCCTTTTCGCCAAAAGAAGAGTTGCTTATAGTACCGCTTGGTGGAATGCGCATTCGTTTGACACAGCCCTGCAAGGGCATGCTGCGATGCAAGTCGATCAGGATGATCCTCTGCGAGCGATGTCTTCCGGATCGCGACGACGTGCTCGAGCAGCTGGATAGCCTCCTTGGTCTGCCCTTTCGCTTGATATGCATTTGCAAGGTCATGCTGCGATGCAAGTCGTCTAGGATGAGCCTCTGCGAGCGACGTCTTCTGGATGGCGACGACGTGCTCGAGCAGCTGGATGGCCTCCTTGGTCTGCCCGTTCGCTTGATATGCATTTGCAAGGTTATTCTGCGATAAAAGTCGTCGAGGATGATCCTCTGCGAGCGATGTCTTTTCGATCGCGACGACGTGCTCGAGCAGCTGGATGGCCTCCTTGGTCTGCCCGTTCGCTTGATATGCATTTGCAAGGGCATGCTGCGATCCAAGTCGTC